GCGGAGTTGCGCCCGCTCCCGCCCTCGCCCTTGGCGAGCCCTGGCGCGGGGACAGGCCGGCCCACAGAGGCTCGGTCCGGTCCTCTCAGGGGGACCCGGAGGAGGGGGTGTGGCCGCGAGACGCCGGAAGCCCCCGCCCCACCGCCCGGAGGGGAGAGCTGCCCGAGCCATGCGATCCTCTTGTTCCCCACCCTCACCCCGCCCCCCATTGACCCCAGCCCGGGACCCTCCCTCCACTGCCATGCTTAGGCCTCTCAGCAGGCTCCTCCCCGAATGGCGGGTGCCCCGCGGCAGCCATGTTTCCCTGAACCTCAGTATCCCCTCCTGACCTGGAAGGGCGGCCCCTGTTCTCCGAGGGCCCTGACAGTGACAGACCGGGCGGAGCCTGCGCTGCGGGCAGCACGCGCTGACCCAGGCCGAGGGGACTTTAACCCCGGCTCCTCCTGGATGTGTGAGGGGCGGTCTCCATGCTGTGGCCCCTTCCCGCCCTGGTAAGTGCCTGGCCGGGCCACGGTGCTGCATGAGGACGGGCAGGTGCCTGCCTCCTCCTGCCGCCCCTGGGCAAGGCCAAGCCCACCACAGGGAGCAGAGCCTGGGGACCGCCGGGTGGGAAGGGCCGTGAGCCTGGGACCCGTCCTCCACCCCCGAGCCGCCCGGGAGCCGGAGGCGCAGGGAGACCAAGGACACGCGGCCCGTGGAGGCAGATCCGGACAACAAAGATCAGGTTGTCTTCAGCCACTCGACCCTCCTGGCGTCGCTGCCTAGTCGCTGCCATAGCAGAACCTGCGGCCGGCCGGGGACCAGGGTTGCAGGGCTTCCTGTCCCCGCCTCTGCTGACCGCGCACCCGGGAGGGTTGCAGCGAGCTATGGCCTTGCAGCTCTCCTCTGACCTGGGGACCAGGGGGAGTGTCCACCTCCGGGCCTCAGTTTCCCTGTAAGTAAATGTTCGGCCCTGGAGTTCTCCAGAGCAGGGCCAGCGGGTCAGAAGCCCTGCCACCCCGGTTCCGAGGCTCCAGGGTCTGCCTCCACACACAACCAGCTCTGGGGAGCATGGGGGCAGGGGAGGACGTGTGCATGGCATCTCCTGGACACTCCAGCTGAAGTCCTGTAGCGCGTCATTAGCTTTCCGACCCGAGTAGTTCCTTTGAAGCACTCCAGACAGCACTCCCAGCCAACACGGGTCACTCACGGTGGAGAGCACAGGAGGGCTGTCTGTGTCTGCAGGGATCTGTGCCTCCATGGGAGGGTCTGTGTGTACATCTCGTGTCTGTGCAAGAGGTTCACAGGCTTCCTGTGTGGTTTGTTTGCACCTGTTTTAGTTTCCACTCCTTGGAATACTACCAAGACTGAACATCTTTATTAATAATTTAATCTTTTTTAAAGCTGCCTGCTAGTGTGATTACTGGGTTTTCTTAGATTACTAGAGGCCTGGTGCACAAAATTCATGCATGGGTAGGGTCCCCGGGCCTGGCCAGCGATCAGGGCTGATCTGTGGGGCGACTGGTGGGGCAATGGGGGGCAGGGGTCGCTGGCACCTGCCTTGGCTGGCCAGGGGCCTGCGGGCAGCTGCTGCATTGACCACCCCCTGGTGGTCAGTGCACGTCATAGCGACCAGTCATTCCACTGTTCAGTAGATTTGCATATTAGGCTTTTATTATATAGGATTTTTCTCTTAATGGTAAGACCTCTCTGCATATTATTACTTTTACATAACAAATTTTACAAGGGTTCTAGTTTTGTGCTTTATCTTTTAACTATATTTGATTTAAAACAAATATTTACTTTTGAAGTCAGTTTATCAGTATTTTCCCTTATATTTGGTTTCTGGAGGCTGGGCTTGCTGAGCGTGGGTGGGGTTTCATCTGATGATTTCATCTAAACTTCTAAAGGTTATCTCTATTCCATGAAAATAAAAATTACATTTTTCCTTTTCTAAAGAAATATTTATTGTTTTTCCTCTTTACAAATGTGATGCATGCGTATTGTCAAAAATGAAAGGGAAATAGTTTAGGTACAGTGACTGAGTTTTACTATCGAAGAACAAGGCTTCTCTCCCCCCATTTGTTTCCATTTGTGACCCTCAGTGGTGATCCATATAATTTTGTTCCTAGAAAATCTACTTTTCTTGATGGTGTTGGGAATGGGATATTTTCTAATTGGTTGTTGGTATAAAAAAACCTGTTTGTTTTCCGAGTGTCAGGCTATCAACTATCCAGATGTCCATGGCCAGGATGCTGGGCATAGGCAAGCCTCTCTCCTCTCTGCCACCTAATGACCTATTTGTTTTTGAATGTTACTTTTTAACTGGTCTTCATTTCTGATTTAAAATGTAATAAATAAAATGAGGAAGATTTGTTTCCATGTAAAGATTGCTACATTCATTTCTCTCTCAGGGTTTTCCACCAGGGTAAGTCTCATGGTACCTGATTCAGTTCAACATTAATCTCAAGAGTTTTCTACATCCTTCTCATTAGGATTTTCCTTCACTGTGGACATTCTGATGTTGACTAAGTTGGAAGCTAAACCTGAAGGCTTTCCCACACACATTACACACATAGGGTTTCTTCCAGGTGTGGACAGTCTGATGTATAATACAGTCAGAACTGTAGCTAAAGCCTTTGCCACACTCCACACATCTGAAGGGTTTCTCCCCAGTGTGGCTTCTCTGATGCCGAATTAAATGGGCATTAACATGGAAGGCTTTTCCACACTCCTTACACTGAAAGGGTTTTTCTCCAGTATGGATTCTCTGATGTACAATATAATCAGAACTACAGCTAAACGCTTTATCACATTCCTTACATTTGAAAGGTTTCTCCCCAGTGTGTATTCTCTGATGCCTAGTTAGTTTGGCATTGATACTGAAGGCTTTCCCACATTCTTTACATTGATAAGGTTTTTCTCCAGTGTGTATTCGGTGATGATCAAGTAGGTTTCTTTTAGAAGTAAAGCATTTTCCACACTCATTACATTCAAAGGGTCTCTCCCCAGTGTGAATCCTCTGATGCTGCATTAGTTTTGCATTGACACTGAAGGCCTTTCCACACTCATTACACTCATAGGGCTTCTCTCCAGTGTGGATTCGCAGATGCTGTCGAAGCTGGGAGTTACACCTGAAGGCTTTTCCACATTCATTACACTCATAGGGCTTCTCACCAGTGTGGATTCTCTGGTGCTGGATTAACTTCCCTTTGACACTAAAGGCTTTTCCACATTCAGTGCACTCATAGGGCTTCTCACCAGTGTGGATTCTCTGATGCTGAGTGAGTTTTGTATTATTACTGAAGGCTTTCCCACACTCCTTACACTGACAGGGTCTCTCTCCAGTGTGGATGCTCTGATGCTGCCTAAGCTGGGAACTGCACCTGAAGCCTTTCCCACACTCATTACATTTATAAGGTTTCTCTCCAGTGTGGATTCTCTGGTGTTGAATTAATTTTGCATTAACATTGAAAGCTTTCCCACAGTCATTACACTCATAAGGTTTCTCCCCAGTGTGGACTCTCTGGTGTGTGATATATGCAGAACTGCAGCTGAAGCCATTTCCACACTCCTTGCACTGATAAGGCTTCTCTCCTGAATGGATTCTCTGATGCCTGCTTAGACTCCCATTAACACTGAAGGCTTTCCCACACACCTTACACTGATAGGGCTTCTCCCCACTGTGGACTGTCTGATGTGTAATGTAATGGGAACTGTAACTGAAGCTTTTCCCACACTCCACACATTTGAAGGGTTTCTCCCCACTATGAAGTCTTTGATGACAAATTAATTTTGCATTAACACTAAAGGCTTTGCCACAATCCTTACACTGATAGGGCTTCTCCCCAAGGTAGCTGTTTTGATGATGAAGTTGAGAGTTATACTTAAAGGTTTCCACTAATTCTTCACATTCAAATGGTCTTTCCCTGGAATTACTTATTTCATGATGGATAAGTTTTGTGTCAAAATTTAAGGATTTCTCCAATCCTGTACACTCAGGGGGCTCCTCTCCAGTGGTGATGATGGTATTACACTGATTCAAGTTTGGACTCTGACTAAACAAACACTCCTCCATGAGGCTTGTGTCATCTTTCACTGTTCCATCAATGACACTGCTGTTTTCTTTCTTCATACTTACTACTAGGTGGACTTCCTGCTGTTGTTTTTCTAGAATATAGGCTTCTGAGAAGTCTGTTTCCTGGGAAAAGTCCCCCTGAAGTACAAATGATGTATTATGTTTTTCTTTGTTCATTTCCTTTGTCATATTATGGTCAGCCTGGATATCAATATCTAGTATAAAAAACATAAAACAGGAAATGTTAAATCCATATATGCTAATAGGAAAAGATACAAAGATACACTGTTAAGTAAATAAACAAGTTGAGAAATAGTATGTAGAGTAGATTCCATTTGTGTAAAAGAAAATTAAAAGGGCAGGCATAGACATATATATTTGTACTATGCCTAGAAAACTTCTGGAAGAAGGCAAAATAACAGGAAGTTTAATATATTTCCCCACCATTTTATATACCTTTTTTACTGTTTTGAGCATGTGCCAATAGTATAATTTTAAAGTAATAATTTTGAAAAGACAACCTGTCTCTAAACCAGTAATAACCAATAACATAAAGGTTAAAAGTGAGAAACATCTATGTGAGAGAGAAACATTAATTGGTTGCCCAGTTATCAAACCTACAACCTAGATATGTACCCTGACCGGGGATCAAACCCACAACCTTTTTGGTGTATGGGATGACATGAGGAAGTAATTTTAAAAGAAAGTCAACTCTGCTGACATGAGTCTTATACCTTACACCTTCCCCTTCTGCTTGCCTAAAACCCATTTGAGTTCTCACCCCAATAAACCTATATTCATGGATTAGATCAATGTTTCTACTATTAGCTCAGATCATGATGGGTTGTTCAAAAACTTCAGGACTATCTACTGTCTATAGATTTTTCCAGACACCTTTGATTAAGGGTCTCCACAATATCACTTTTTCCCCCCTCTATATGCCAAGCACTTCAAACTCTCCATGTCCAAAACATGTCTTTGTTGGTCAGAGATCATCTGGCTGAAACCATCTTTTAAAAAAAGAGGATTCATTGAAGGGATGTAAGAGAATCTTATGGAACCCAAATGCAGGAGGTAAAGCTAGGCCTCATGGGAAATGGGAAGTCATCTGGCAGCTACTCTGCTTGAGCCAATGAGAGCCTCACTACTTCAAGTGTGGTCTGGGAACCGAAAACATTGGCATCACCTGGAAACTTAACAAAAATGCAGAATCTTGGCCCCATAACGGACTTACTGAATAACAATCTGCATATTTGTAAGACTCTCAGGTAATTCATTTGCATATTGTTTGAGAAGCAATGAATTACAGCACTTCCTCCCTTCTGCCTTATTCCCTATAGCTTACTATATAAAGCTGTCTCCTCCAAAAAAACAAAAATAACTAATGTAACATTGAGCACACACTATTAGCCAGGCACATGATACATGTTATCTCATTCCATCCTCAAACTGTAAGACTAGCACTAAAACCTACTTTTATTATTATTATCCCATTTTCAGGGATGAGAACACTGACTCTCAGAGAACTAAATAATTGACTTGCTCAAAGTCACACAACTAGGAAGTTGCACAGTTAGGACTGAACCTCAGAAAATCTGCCCCAAAACTATACTTCTAACCACAGGGCTATTTTTCTGTTCTGTGTAAAGTATTAAATAGACAATGTTTAGAAAACTAGCAAGAACCCTCTCCCTGCACCCAAATTACTTAATCCATTCATTTTTTTCTAAGTAAGGTAGAATTCTAAAATTAGGATTAAGTTAGAATGAGGCATTTGAAAATGATCTGTTCTTAGTACAAAGAAATAGAAAATTGTGAAAATAGAAAAGATCTGAATTGAATCTATCTCTATATAGATCATCAAAATTTATTTAAATTTTACTCTGTACAGCTGGCCAATAAGCGTGGCACAGTTATATGTTGCTAACATGCTAACTCATGCTTACATGCTAACTCTTTCTTCCTAAAGAGTTAAACTTTCCAGCATAATAGGCAATATGTGCTTCCCTTACCAGTCCAGAGGCCTGGAGGGTCTGTGCCTGTTTCAGCAGCCAGTGGAGATGGGCCCCCCAGCTCACCTCCTCCCTCCAGTTGTAAGATCACAGCAGGTTTGATAAGTGGAAATCCTGTTTTGGGGGAAAGGAAATAGGAGAGAAGGGTGAATAGTCTGCCATTGGGTGATACGATTGTCTTGGCAACTGCCGGGGGGGGGGGGGGGGGGGAGGGGGGGGAGGGGGAGGGAGGTAAGAGCCCCAAGGTGTCTGTGAGGGGGGGAGGGGAGGGCTTGAGGAGGTGAGGGAGAAGTCGACAAGGGCCCAGACCATGGGCCCAGGAGACTTCATGCAGAGCAAACAGAATCTGCCCAAAGGGACACCAGTTTCTGACCTTGGCCTGAGATATTCAGAGTGCACGGACATCTTTGGAAAGACCGAAGATGCAGGTGAGGGGGAACTAAAGATAACATTGTAAGTTGCTTTTTCCACACTAAATCACAGCTTCTATAGGTCCATAAGAGTGTACACTAGTCCCGGCAAAATCCTATATTGACCCAAAAAGGGCTTGGGGTTTGCCCTTCCCAGCAATCCCTGGGTCTAGAGAATTAGGAATCTCAGCCTCTGGAGTCCCCACTCAGTAAAGGATTCACCAGAGACCCCACCTGCAACATGTAAGGGAAGTCAGGAAACCCCAACCGACAAGTCTGGGTCCAGGGGGAGAGGCCTTACCCAGGGAGGCCACATTCCCATAATTCTCCAGCATCACATCCCTGTACAGAGCCCTCTGTGCAGGGGACAGGCCATCCCACTCCGTTGGGGTGAAGTACACAGCCACATCCTCAAAGGTCACCGACTTCTGAAACAACAGGTTCCTGCTGCCCTAGGGCCAATTCCATGGCTCAGGCCCTAAGTGGGGGGCAGAGGGCAGTATAAGGGCTCGGGGAGGGAGCTTGTGAAGAGTAATTACATGAAAGTAATAACACGGCAAAAAATGTGAGAAAAATACCTGAAAAGCAAGCCAGGGCACATTTGACTTCTCTCGTGGCAGAGAAACCTCATGCCGTTTTTATGCTTCTAAAAGATAGTACAGCCACTCCCTCACTGGTGGACACGGCTCAGGACCCACCCACCAGCATTCCCACTTCATCTCCTTGAGGTCTGGGCTTCTCCATCCTGCTCCCAAAGAATGGCCATGGCTTCCATCTCATCCAGCCCCATCTGCAGCCTGATCCGCGTCACCAACTTCCCAGCAAGGGGCCGTGCCGCCTCTGCTTCAGAACCTCCAGCAGAGGAAGCTCAGTGCTGCCCAGACCAGCTTGGGGACCAGGGGTGAGGGGGTGGCAGCAACAGCCATCCTGCTTCCAGATGGGTCTTGCTGAAAACCCGACGTTTTGTTACCCCCTCCCATTCAAGCCTCATCCTTTCCACCGTCATCCAAGGTTTGGATGAGAAGGGAGCTCAGCTTTCCTGTTGGCCAGCTCCTCAAACACCCTTTGGCTGCTCCTCTTTGCATCAATACCCTCTGCAGTCAGCACCGGCTCTGCCACTCAGGGCTGATGCTGCATGCTCGCAGGCCCGGCTCCTCCCTCCTGAGCAGCTGCAGACTCCGGCTGCTCTCTGCCCGCCTCAGCCTTCTCTAACAACCTTGGGGACACATTGGCAGGGATTTGCCCTCAACTCCTGTCTGCCAGGATCTGTCTTGGTTGACTCTACCAACCTCCACCCAGCAAATAATCTAGTCAGCTTCTGGGAGTTACTGGGAGTCACTCGCTGTGTGACCGCGGACAGGTCAAATAACTTCTCTGAACAAAATTAAATGCCTTCACTGCCCACTGCCACCGCCCTTTCCCCAGGTAAGCTGGTGCCTCCTCCTGAATTCAAACCTCAGTTGGTGTCACCCACCACTATCTGTGCAGGAAACCTCAGCTAGAACCCTGGGGATTCATTCTTGACTCCTCCCTCTTCCTTACCCCCATCTCCTGACTCTGACTCTAAGTCCTAACGGTTTTTATGTTAAGCATTACTAGAATTAGATCCCCCTCTTTAACAACTACTTTCCTGATGAAGCCCACATCGCCTGGACCAGGAGACTTCTTTCTGAAGTGGTCACCCTGCTTTTGAATCTCCCTAAAAGTTATTCCCTACATAGCCATCACAAATCTGACCAAGTTAACTCCACTGGCCCCACACGTGCCCCAAGGCTGGGCAGTGAAGAATCACACAATGGCTGTGAGACCTTGGGCAAGTCACTCTATCTCCTTTGCCTTCGTGTCTTTTGTGGTGTAATGAGTCCAACACAGCACCTATCTCAGAGGTCAGTTGTCAGGAATGAGCAATCCATGCAAAGTGCTTAGTATGGTGCCTGCAGCATAGGAAGCCTTAAGTGATGTTACTGGAGTTACTGTGACTATGACTTTCCCAACCTGCAGTCCATGGAGGTCCATGGATGAGCCTCAGGGGGTCCATGACGTCCCTGAAACTGCAGGGAAAACTTGGTTTGCACATGTGTTTTTCTGGGGGAGAAGGTCCAAAGTTCTTATCAGAGACCTACAGTTTGAGCCACTGCACCCCAAGCCCTGAAAGCCTCTGAAAACACAGTGAGACAGCCTGTCCCACAGGGCTTCCAGTTTCCTTCCTCCCTTGCCCCCACTTACCTCCTCTTCCCCTCAATTAGAAGCACAGCCCTGCTTCACCTGTACCTGGTCCCTGGGAATCCCAGTCCTCTGCTGCCTCCTCCATTCACACCCATACACGGAGCATCCTACCTGGTCAGTTCCCACATCTCCTATTCCCCAGAGCCCTCTGCTGAGGGGAGCAAAGAACCTCAATGTGCCCAACACGACACCCCTGCCTTCGGGCCCGCTCCCCTGCTGCTTCCATCCCTCTACATCACCACTCTTCCCACAAGTCCAGTCGGGCAGGTGTAAGCATGGAGGCCCTCTCCAGCTCTCATCACCAGCTCGCCAGCTTCCCTTCTCGGTTTCTCAATTTGAAACTGCTCAGAGCAAGACCCGAAGAACCCACAGCTCACCTGAGGCCAGGCTGTCAGGAGCATGGCTGCCATTGCTTCGCCTCCCTCTCAGAGAAGGGCTGGAGCTAAGGAAAAGCACAGAGGGAGACCAGTGTGAGGTAAGCCACCCCAACCAAGAAGAGAAGATCTAAGATGCAGGCAGCCTGTGTCCAGATAGGAGTGTGAGCAGGAGCTGCCATAGGAAGAAGGGGCTGATCTGTTCAATCGCTCAGTACCCCGGACTCCTCCCAGCCATGACACTGATGCTCACTGCCAGGAACCCTAGGATTTTACAACTCTGACACACATCTCACACACACACACACACTCGTGTGTACATAAAAATGTATGCAGAGCCTAAAGAATAAAACAAAGACTCGAGGAGCAGTGCTTCAGCTCAAGAGACAGAACAATACCAAGATCTTTGATTTATTTCTCTTTCTAAACAAGTATCACCCTCGGTCCCCCTGCAAGAGAAGACAGGTAGGAGGTGCTGCAGCCCCAGCACAGAGGCCCGGGTCAGGCCCTGGGAGGGACAGCTGCTCCCCCACATCTTGCCTATCTCCTCACACAGATGAGTGTCCTCAAGGGTCTAATGTCTCTGTAGAGACCTTGGGAGGTCAGCCTCCCCCATGGCCCAGACTTACCTTCAGGAAGCTGGGCCAGAAGTGAGGTACCAGGCTGCCTCCTCATACTTTCCAGCCTGCGCCTCATGACCCAAAGGCCCTTCTCACCATGTTCAAAAACACACGGAGTGGCTATTTTCTGATTCTCACGGATCCTAAATTCAGTCTTGAAAATGTATGCTTTCCTAAAATTTCATCTACGTCTTCCAGGATTTCAACTTTAGCACAGGTGTGGGAAACACTGGTTTATGACTTTTTTCACTTCCTCCATATCTGGAGCTACTTTGCTTTTCCCACTTCTTCTTTTGAATATATATGCTTTTAGACCTCTTCCCTTGGTAAATTTTGTGTCCCCACAAAATTCCTATGTTAAAGTTCTAACCCCCGAGGCGGCAATAAGATTAAATGTGGTCATAAGGGCAGGGCCCAAATCTAATAGGGCTGATGCACTTACAAGAAAAGGAAGAGCTCTTTTCCGGTTTTTGCATCGCGAGGACCCATGAGCAGCAAAGTCTCCCACGACCCCCTTTACTAGGTGGTCTGGGAGTGCTGCACAGGAACCAGCGCAAGCGCCGGAAGTTTATGGAGACAGTTGAGCTGCAGATTGGCCTGAAGAACTATGACCCTCAGGGGACAAATGCTTCTCGGGCACCATCAGGCTTAAGTCCACGCCCCGCCCCAAGTTCTCCATGTGTGTTCTGGGCGACCAGCAGCACTGTGATGAGGCCAAGGCCGTGGAAATCCCGCACATGGACATCGAGGCGCTGAAGAAACTCAGCAAGAATAAGAAACTGGTCAAGAAGTACGATGCCTTTCTGGCTTCAGAGTCTCTGATCAAGCAAATCCCATGAATCCTGGGCCTGGGCCTGAATAAGGCTGGCAAGTTCCTGTCCTTGTTGACCCACAATGAGAACATGGTGGCCAAAGCTGAGGAGGTGAAATCCGCAATCAAGTTCCAGATGAAGGGGGTGCTGTGTCTGGCAGTGGCTGTTGGCCACGTGAAGATGACAGGTGATGAGATGTGTACAACATCCATTTAGCTGTCAATTTCTTGGTGTCATTGCTCAAAATTAGCTGTCAATTTCTTGGTGTCATTGCTCAAAAAGAACTGGCAGAATGTTCGGGCTTTGTACATGAAGAGCACCAGGGGCAAGTCCCAGGCCTGTACTAAACTTAATAAACCATACTGCTAGGGAGGGAGGGAGGGAAGGACAGACTCCAAAGCTCTCCATCTTTGCCATGTAGCACACAGTGAGAAGGCAGCCACCTGAAACCCCAGGAGAGAGTCCTCACTAAGAACAAATCAGCAGCGCCTTCATCTTGGACTTGCAGTCTCCAGAACTATAAGATTAGGTTCCTGTTGTTAAAGCCACAGTCGATGGCATTTTGTTATGGCATCCCAAACAGATTCATAAAGAAGGCTGGGCAGTGGTTTATTTTAATGTTGTTTTATTTTCAGTGAACCAGCTTTTTAATTTATTTAGAACGCTGTTTTTGTTTTTGTTTTTCCCCTAATTGATTTTAATTCATTAAGCTCTGCTCTGTAAGAGATACCTTACACACCACTCCATTCCTCGTCTCACACTTAGTCCTGTTCCAGAAGCTTACTCAGCTTTGTGCAGGTGCAGCCTGCCAATGCCTCTGCAAGGATCTCCACCACCGATGCCTGGCTCCTGCCCTGGGCTTCTCTGCTGTCCTGTACGGGGCCCCTGCGGAAACCTGTGGATACTTGCTGGTCCCTAAAGTACAGGAGAGTTAATGCCTGTGGTGCCACCCTTGACCAATAGGGGACAGAGGTCAATGGATAAATGTTTTCCCCTTTAGACCCCCAAATGAGATTCCAAAGCTCCTCCAAGATCCTGTAAGACAGAGCAGCAATCAGATGGAGAAGGGCCACGCTGACAGAGCACCCTGGTACTGGCTCTCCTTCCTTCTCTGTGCCAGGCCCTGCCTTTCACTCTGCCCCGGGACTACATTCCCAGATGAATCACCTGCACACAAATCTTTGCCCTTTGTTCTGCTTTTGGGGAAAACTCGACTATAAAGGCTTTTTCAAACTTCTTAGGGGAGCATGGCTTATTCATTTATTTCCATACTTTCCTATTTGGCAATTAAAACCTATAAGGCCATAAATTTTCCTCTGAATACACAATTAGCCACATACCAGAGGTTTTATGTCATGTTTTAATTACTATTTGATAGCTGGTGTTTAGTCTCTGACCAAAGAATTGTTTAGGATAGTATGTTGTTAATTTCTTCTCTGTTCATAATTTCTGGCTTTACTGATGGTGTTTGAATAGCCCAATACACTTACTTCTGCTTTACAAATGTTTGAGGGTTAATAGCTGAAGTGCCCATTTAAAAAATAGTCTATAGATGCTTAAAAACGTATTATATGATGGAAGAATATATAATTCTATATGAATTTAATGAATCGACTCTACCAATTTTATTATATAGATTTTTCTCTGTAATCCATGATTACTTTTACCTAATTAAACTGAGATAGCCAGTAAAGAGTGTACTCATAAAATACTGAGCCCATATATATCATAGGTAAATCTTTTCAAATCTTGAAGAAATGAGTAATTCTAACACTATTTAAACTGTAACAGAGAAGAGCAAAATAAGTTTCCCAATCTTTTGATCACGCCAATGTTAGATGGGACAAGAGTCTCAAGGTCTGGGCAGATCTTGTTAAGTGTGAAAATGTAGCACAGTATTTTGCAGATGCAGCTTATCCACTCAGGATGAGCTTAACCACTCAACCCAGGAGTTTAGCCAACTGCCCCCACCCCCAAAAAAGAAAGAACTCAACATGCAATTAACCAAATCCAGGTAAGTTTAGCCAACTGCAAAGAAATCAACATGTAATTGAGCAAACAGTGTATAAAGCAATGGCTAAGCCTCTCTTCCAGGAAGCAGATTTGGATGTGAATCTGTGGTCTCCTTTACTTGCTGCGAGTAAATAAAACTACCTAACAACCACCATGTCTCCTTGACTAGAACCCCCTAAGCAGTGAACCCCCTGAGTTGGGTAGCGTCAACACAACTGCCCAGCAGCAAAAATGAATGACTCACAACAACATGGACGACTTTAGGAACATATGACTACAGACCCTATGCTGTCGTTTTCACAAAGCTCAAAAGCAAACTAAACACGTTATTTACATACACACGCATATGTGACAAAATGATTTTTTAAAAACAGGTAAGGCTACATTAACACAAAATTTAAGACAGTTGTTACTTCTAGGGGTGGGAAGCTGGGAGTTGGGTTGGGGCTGAGCACACAGATGCAGCAGTACTGGTAATGTTCTCCTCCTTAATGGGGTGGTGTGCTCATGGCAGCTCATTTTACTATGCTTCTTAACTGTCATAGTAGATGCAGTCTTGTGTATACGTGAATGGCATTTTTTTAAAAAGATAATTATCTCTATGATATGGGTGATTTTCAAAGTATTTTGTCGAATAAAATTTTAAAAAAACAAAGTGCAAAAACAGGAGTATAAGAAAACATGTGTCTGGTCATTTATACAAAAAGAAATGGAAGGATAAACCAGAAACAAAGGAGAGTGGTTACACCAGGTGTGGGTAGGAAGTAGGTGAAAGGAACCCTGGAATGGGAACAGGATGGAAGGAAACTGGGTAGAAGGGAGGAGGAGCAAGGAGTGTCGTGTCTCTGAGTGTACCTTTTGTTCTTTTATAACCAGAGTAATGCTTCACATAAACAAATAGATAAATACACATAAATATTTAAAATCAACCAATCAGGATGGGATGGTGGTGATGACCCAAAAAAGGAACACAAACATCATCAAATGAGCCTAACTATCCTGCAATTGAGTCACGTGCCCACACTGAAATGGTGGGAAAGAAAAGAACTAGGTAACTATGGAAAACAATATTTTAACTAGATACTCTAAGGCTATAAAGACCTGCACTCAAATGCCGCCCTCTAGTGACAATGGGAAAAACTAAAATGTAATAAACATTGCTGAGTCCCTTTAATAGCGTCAGGAGGCTATTAAGGAAGTGGGGCCCAGGCACATGTCGTGCCTCTGTTTTCAGAGCTACTTTTACTGTTGCTAGTCCTGTTGTTACACTACAACAAACAAAACACAAAGCCTTTTGCTACACTCAGCTCAAGGCAGAGACATAAACATGCGGGATCATAGACATCTTAGAACAACTGCTACATGGACATATATGGAATTTACTTCCTTAGTTCTCACCTCCCTCGTTTCCATATTGGAACTAACCAAACCCTGTTAACCTCGCCGGCAATACCTCAATTGCATGAAAGAATTACATTTTGTGATTTGCGCCTTTATAAACCCTGCCTTTCTTCGTTCTCTCCAGAGCTTAGTTTGGGCTGTTACCTGAATCCGCTTCTCATGGATTCGAATCCTTGAAGACCCCAAATGAACTTGTTTCATGGCCTCAGATCTTTATTTGT